AGCATGGACAGTGCTGTCTCTCTGCAGGTCAAGATTTCTTGACATACTGCTTGCCAGAGACATTCTCAGCTAGATGGAAAGTCTTTGAATGTGGAATTTTTGCTCGAGTGCAAAATAATAAAAAACATGTGTATGTTAAAAGTATCAGCTTAATGGCAAACGAGCATTGCCTTAGATTAATATTCTATTACAGTAAAAACTTATATTTAATAAATTTTCTCCAGGCTCCCTTCCCCCCTCTGAATCTCACGTATTTTTCTAAGTGGTATGCCAACATAAAGAAAGTACATATGATACATTTGATTTATGTTAAGTCAATAGCGTGTGCAAGTCATTTAAAATTGTATTTTAAGTGTAGAAATATAAACCCCCGAGAAACACATACAGTATAATACAGTGAGGAGAGTGAAATGCATTAGCCTGTCAGGGGCTGAAATCCCTTGTAAATATTATTCTATTTAGAAGATATTTTTTAAAAATGTGGTGTTGTGTGTCAAGTCCCAAGAAAGCAAGTTCAAAATTCTTTGATTTCATTTTGAATAAGAAATGGAGCTGGAGTTCAAGACTTCACATAACCAAATAGTTTTCCTTTCCTTTGTGGGTGAGCAGCCACCGAGAAGGCTCACAAAAGGAGTGACAGATTCCAGATCAGAACCATGCTGACCACCCTGTGTTGTTCCAGGGCCCTAATTAATACTAGACTTGGTGACATTTATGTATCAGAGCAATAAGCTAAACAGGAAACAATTTATGTCACCTAAAGCTTTTTAACAAATCGATGCAACTATTTGTAATTGCTTGTTTCACAAGATTGAAAGTACTCAGGCCTGATCCTCATCCATGGATTTGTGGTCAACCTGACCTGTGTTTCCGTTGTTTAAAAAAAGGAAAAGAAAAGAAAAAGGAGAGTTGGTGATCAGCATTGACTTCCATCAAGTAATCCATATTGCTAATATTTCTGGAATTTTAATGTAGTTACAATTTATAGCCGATCACATGTGGTTACCTAAATTGCTGTTGGTAGTAGACAGTTTAACTGTCTGTATTAATTACAGTATAATTTAATGTTTGAGTACTACCACTTGTGTTGGTCATTTTTACAGCTCGAGCAGTTATCTGCCTTATGACGAACCATTTTAGCATTTTCGATGGAAATTTGCTCATATGATGAGTGATAAAAATGTCATAGGCTGGTAAATAATGATTATTGCCTTGGCTGAAATTAATTCTTGAAAGGCCAGTTACCTTCAAATTAACATTATAACTTG